GTTGAGGGTACAACTTTCTCTCGTGTAACCATGGCTTTCCCAGGATGATATTGTATACCATATGACCATCTACTACATCGAAGAGAGTTGTTTTCATTACTCCTTCAGCATTCGTGAGCAACAAAATCTCTCTCTGGGTTGTCAGACTCGCGAGGTTGAATCCAGCGAGGAGCTTTGTGGCGGAATAATGCTTCTGGGGATTTTAGCTTGCTCCAATACTCTCCATTGTATGATATTAGCCGAACTTTCTGAATCCATTAGGACACGTTTAATTGTAAAATCTAACACATTTAAAGAAATTACCAGTGCATTGTTGTGTGGTAGCAGCAACCCATCTGCGCCCTCCTCCGTAAAAGTGATATCGTCTTCCCGGAGCCTTTTACTATGAGTTATTAATACTTGCTTCTTCTTTGCTGCCGAAAAGGTGACCCCGTTAATCTCATTCCCTCCGAAGATCATATTGATCATTTGGCGTGGGGGTTTTTCTCTTGCTTTCGAGGGTTCCATGTTATCTCTGTTACGATCATAATTGTTCTTAGATCGGTCACTTAAGAACTCTCTAATTTGACCATTCTTCAATAATATTGCCACTTCCTCCCGAAGGTGTCGGCAGTCCCATGTCCGGTGGCCATTCGTCACATGGTATTCACACTATAAGTTGGGATCCTTCTGGATGGGATTGGATCTCATTGGTCTCGGGAACCATGCCTCTTTGATGTTTCTGATGGCTGACACCAATTCCACTATACCGACGTTGAAGTTGCATTCCGACAACTTGGGGTAAGAAGGATCCCGTGACCCCGACGTTTCTGTATCCTGCAATGATCTATTGTTCCGACCACGATCGGTGCTTCTGTCAACGGTGAACTTGTCTGTTGCGCGGAAGCCTCTGCCACGGCCTTCGATTCACTCGTAGGGCAAAAAACAGCCCCTCGAAGTCTGTTTGTCAGTGTCGTAGTCATCTTTTGATTTTCTCTATTCTTCTCCCGTCCTTTGGTCGATAATGGAAAGCCAACCTGATTTTCTCTATTCTTCTCCCGTCCTTTGGTCGATAATGGAAAGCCAACCTGATCATCTTCGATCCTTATTTTTGACTCGTACCGGTTGTGGAAATCTACCCAAGTCGTTTCTTGAAAATCAAGCAAGCCTTCCTTCAGCTTTTGAGAAGCGTCTGAACTTCTTGGATTCAATCCCTTGGTGAATGCTTCAACTGCCTATTCATGCAGCATAGGCGGGAGCAATATTCTTTCCTTCTGGAATCGGGTAACGCATTCTCGTAGCAACTCGGACTCTCCCTGCGCAATCTTGAATATATCGGCCTTCCGGGCTTGCACTTTTCTGGCCCCAGCATGGGCCTTGATGGAAGAGTCCACAAGCATTTCAAAGGAATCTATGGAATGCTCGGGTAATAGTGAATACCACGTCAAAGCTCCCCTCGTTAGAGTTTCTCCAATTTTCTTTAACTACACAGATTCAATTTTGTGAGGAGCTAAATCATTTCCCTTTACCGTCATTGTGTAGGTGGTAACATGATCCTGAGGGTCTGAAGTTCCGTCATACTTTGGCACTTTAGGCATTTTGAACCGCTTCGAGATTAATTCTGGTGCCGCACTTGGCTTGTACGGCAATTGAGTATACTTCTTTGAGTCCGAGCCTTTTAGTACTAGTGACGCGCCAAGGATTTGGTCCATGCGGGCATTTACTTCCCTCATAAACCATAAAATTTCATTCTTGAAAGGATCGTTCTCGTTATTGAGACCGGATCCGCTCCCCCCAGCCCCTCGGAGTAACTTCACCCCTGGGAGTGTTGTTGTCGACCCTCTGCGTTGTTTGGTTTGTGGGAACACCGGGAGGAATTGGATCCCGTCTGTTTGCATCATTCCAAGCCCCCGACAATGCCTGCTTCAACTCCATCATAACCTTATCATGTCATGTGAGATGGCCTAGAATGATCGCATGTTGCTCTTGCAAGACCCTTAACGTGTCAACGACATGCTCCTCATCAGCATCATCGGGAGTTGTCTCAAAACCTGTCGAGGATACTGCCTGTTATGCACCGTTGGGGCATCATTCCCCTCATTGTGGGTGTCACTAATTGAGTCCTCAAAATAAGGTTGATCTCCTCGAATCTTAGGGTTGTGCGTATTGTTAACAGTGTTATCTACCATTTCTTATGATTTTTTCTAAGATAAAATAATCAAAGCACGTTAGTAAAAAAGGCAAGGATAAATTTAATTGCACGGTTGTTTAGGCCCCACGGTGGGCGCGAACTGTTTACTCGTAAAATGATACAGTTGAATTTATACGTGATTTCTAAACAAGTTAACTAATTTGATCCTGAAATAATAAGATAATCGAAGAATTATGCAATACTTAGCCTTAAAATGTAGACGAAACAGCAGAAGTAACAGTTTTAGGAACAAGGTTTCCGGGCACAACAATAGTAAAATCAAAAAGCGAGAAAGTAAGATTGTATTAAGCGCTGTATAGAATGTAGTGTAAGTTTGCCAGAAAATTCGTGTGTTTACAATGATAATTGAGCTCACTATTTATAGCTATGTCTAGGGAAGGAGGTCCTAGGATCGTGCCCTCCTAAATGTCAATTATGAGGGTCATTGATGAAGATATAACGGTGAACATAAATGCGAATTCCCAGTAACGGGTCGTCGCTCTTAATGCCATAGAATATTATTTATTAAATACTACCGGGGCCAGAGCATTTAATACACCTTTATGAATGTTGTTCCTTCCGGTGACAAGCAGAATAGCTGAGTTCGGTCTTTGGCATCCCCGTCTTGGGTTCCACCTGTCCTTCTTTTAGATGACCGCATGTCATAGCATATTTTACCCTATACAATAATTGATAATCAAAGAATTATGCAATACTTAGCCTTAAAATGTAGACGAAATAGCAGAAGTAACAGTTCCGGGAACAAGGTTTCCGGGCACAACAATGGTGAAATCAAAAAGCGAGAAAGTAAGATTGTATTAAGCTTTGTATAGAATGTAGTGAATGTTTGCCAGAAAATTCATGTGTTTACAATGATAACTGAGCTCACTATTTATAACTATGTCTGGGGAATGAGGTCCTAGGATCGTGCCCTCCTTTAATATCAATTATGAGGGTCATTGATGAAGATGTAACGGTGAACATAAATGCCAAATTCCCCGTAACGGACCGTCGCTCTTAATGCCATAGAATATTCTTTATTAAATGCTACCGGGCGCATATCATTTTATACACCTTTATGAACGTTGTTCCTTCCGGTGACAAATGGAATAACTGCGTTCGGTCTCTGGCCATCCCCGTCTTGAGTTCCACGTGTCCTTCCTTTAGATGACGTGTGATAGCATATTTTACCCTATACAATAATTGAGCAGAGTTTTAATGTTTTGTTTGGGTGTTTCTTGGTCAAATAATAAAAAATTCCATGCACACTGCCATGTCATCTTTTTCCACGAGAAAATTTAATATTTCCGGTTGAGTGACTATTTGTGTGCATTAGGAAAAGTTGAGTAATTTTCTTGTTACAAACTAAAGCTAAGTGACTTTGTTCCATCATTTTGCAAAGTTCAGTGACCATCTGAGTAATGAACTCATTTAACCCTTAAAGGAGCATTAATCTAGTAGGTAAGGTTCGTTCTTTGTTTCTTTGGTCATGAATCATGTTCATGAATTTAAAGTGCTTAAATTAGATATTTGAAGTTTTTCTTAGTTTTCACATTTCATGTTCATGAAGTAAAAATAAAATAAAAAATAGACGAATAGGCATTAGTTAATCATTTTCATGAATCAACAATTTTCATGAACATCGTAGGCTAAAAAAGTATTAAAATTTACGAGCTGATGGTCAGGGAGTCTTTCCCAAGTTTCTATTATAATGTTAATTTCAATCAAATTTTGGAGAAAATCTAGACAATGCCTATCATTAGATTTTGCTTCTACTTAGAAGTAATCTAAAATTGCACGTCCAGATTTTCTCACTGCATGCATATGTCGAATACTTCCTTTTCTTATTTTTCGGGGTGATGAGGGAGTAGTTTTGCATAAGCGGTATTTGCTTACAGTAAACAATATTAATTGTATTTGTCTGAACCATTATTGGTTGATTAATCATTTATAGCTTACTGCAATAAGGTCTGTCGGCTAATTTCGTCACTTCTTGCGTTTCACTTTCAACAATATAAACTAAATGTCGTACCGTAACAATTTTTTATTTAGAAAAAAAGAGTAGTTTTGCTCCTTTTGACATTTTTATTTACAAGTTTTTCCCTATTATTAGAAGATTTTACATATCAACCTTCAAGTTATCAGATTCTGCAGATTCGCTGCAGTTATTAGAAGTCACATGGCAGTGCTTACCATTTACAATAGAAGTTGTTCATTTTTAGAGTGCACTTCTAAAAAGAAAATAATATTTCCCAGTAATTTGAAATTTCTTATCCATGCATGCTCCTCCAGAAAATTACTAGTAGTTTCTTTCTGTATTAAAACCTAAAAAAAACATACTATATAAAAGGCAAGTTCAAGAACTTGTAGTTGTGGGTAAATGGAGTAGTTTTTGTTTTTTCAAGAAATATATAGATCTAGCTGTTATATATAACTACTGTTCTGTCCATTCTTGGACGAAATTTTCAGACTATTATAAAATAAAGGTTAAATATGCAAGATCATATAAGTGAGGGACTAAAAGTAACAAATTAAGTAGGAGTATAATGTATTGACAAAAAGCTTTGCATTGGATTATGTTATTAGGGCAAGTGCCAATCGTCTCTCGCCTTCGCAATCTAGTGTGTATATTTTATACAACGTAAAAGGTCAGTGAATTATGGCATATTGATCATGGATTACATGTGAAATTAATTTATCTTATCTTCCTTATTATTTTACTTTCCTTGTGCTGTTTTCTTTCCTAATTTTATTGTCTCTAGCTCGAGGTTTAATTTACTGCTGATATAAATTAAAAGGACCCCTTTCATTGACGTTGAGAGTTGAAACAATTAATTCTTTTTAAAACTTGGCATGACCCTCCCAACTTCCGAAATCTTATGAAACCTCTCATCACATTATAATAAAACACCAAAAAACCCAAGAGAGAATTTGAAGGGAAAAAAAAGTCCATCTTGAGTTAAAATTATGGATGATTATGATCAATTTGATTATGCTCAGGTAGAACACCTCTTACATTTACTTTCTTCTTCTCCTCCTCCTCTTCCTCCTCCTCTGACGACGAATTCATCAGTTCCATTGCAAACACAAAGCTGTAATCTTGTCAATACTCCTGTGCCTAAAAGGAAAGCTGCAATCGCCAATATTGATCAAGATACTGGCAAAGGCAAACCCCCTAAAGAAAAAGAGAATACTGAGAAGAAAGTCGTACGCAGAGATGTTGAAAGGCAAAGAAGGCGCGATATGGCTCGCCTTTACCAGCGTTTACGCCTTCTTATCCCTTCTAAATATCTCATGGTCAGTATACAACAATATTAAGAATGTATTTGGTACGACGAAAAATGAATATGTTTTTCATTAGAACAATCAAACACCTTATGACTTTCTCATAGAAAATATTTTTCCTAAAAAAAATGATTATTGCATTATACATGTAATGTTCCTATTCAGAAACCATAATTCTGATCTTGTTTTATGATGATATATAGGGAAAGAGATCGATATCTGATCATCTAGAAGAGATTGTGGATTACATAAAAGACATGCGGAAGAACATAGAGGAGCTGGAAAGTAAGAGAGAAAGATTGAAAGAAATGAGAAATATTTGTAGCTCTGATCATAACTCTCACTTGGATGCACCATCTTCCTCTATGAAAATTGATGATAATCAGGATCGAATAATTGTGAAAAAATGTGAGCAAGGAGTGGAAATTTCAGTGATCAGTAATTTGGGAGGAGGGTTGGCTCTTTCCAAAGTGCTAAGGGTTCTTATGGAAGAACGGCTGCTTGTTATTAGCTGTGTTTCCTCCAAAATTAATCAAAGGAGTCTTCACATTATTCAATCTGAGGTGTGTGAGCTTAATCTTCTCTTTTCCTCTAAACTTTTAATTCCAAGTATTTTTAGGGTCAATAACTTAATGTAAGGTATCATAATGGATCCAATAACAACAGTTTTAATTTTTTTTTGAACCTTTCAATTCATAGACATGTATCAAAACTCCTTTCATTTACAAGCATAGACTTGTTGGCCTTGTTTTATTTTGTTTTTTTGTTTCCAAAAAGAAATTGGAAATTTGCCATATATATAATGTGCTAGTCACAACGAGTAGGGATCCAAGAAAAGACAAAAATAACAATATTTAAATGGAAATCACAAGATTGCTTAGCTAGGAGGAAGAATCAAATTAGACATTACCACTATTAATAAGGAGAAAAGGATCCCAGAGTTTGTCTTTGTTGAAATATTATCAATTTCCTAAGTCCTGAGTCTCATCTTTATGTGCAGTAACCTTATTGGAAGTTATATTGGGTGGACTCTTCAAAAATATTAGTATAATATTCGTGTCGAATTCTCGAAAAATGTATTACTTCTAGAGAATTTGAAACGTATCCGATAATATTTTTGAAGAGTTCGACCAACATAGATTAAAAGTACTAAACATGTTTGGAACTTGTTTATGTGCAGGTGAATTCAAGAGGAGATATTGATCTAGGAAGGCTACAGTTCAAGTTGATGAGTTTATCTTATAAATTATGATATTTTCCCCCTCTTAATGGTTCCTTCATTGTTTCATTTATTACTTTTTGAGTGGAATGGACTTGTCATTTTCATATGTATCTTAGCTCTTCAATTTTTGTTTTTAATAAATAAATCCGTCTTTAGCCTTTAGGTGATGGGGGGACGTAGACCCTTACCTTTATCATAGCTCTTCCTGTAAAACAAAAGCATGAAATCAGACATGTTTGAGCTGTTCGCAATTAGAATAACTTGGTTTAAACAGAAAAGAACTTTCAGTTTGCTATTGCGCTGCTCTTATTATTTTCAAGCTTTCCAAACTTAAAATCATTGGTTACACGGTGTGTTGAGTCGTTGACAAATACTATTTCCTCTGTCCTCTTTCGCTAGTCCTTTACAGTATACACTAAATATAAATTTTCTTTTTTACTTGTCCATTTTAGCAAATCAAAAAATTATTTCTTTTTAATATTATCCTTAATTTTAAGTACTCACACTTCTCAAATTTATTGAACTTACAAGTTTAATAATTATAAACAAAGGTAATTTATATATATATATATATATATATATATATATGTCACGACCCAAGTTCTCCCTCCGTGAACTGTCGTAACGGCACCTAGTCTCTACGACTAGGTAAGCCTAACAATTTGCGGAAAAAGGAAGTAAAGATACGAAACTAGCAATTTACGGGTAACATAATAAAGAGATTTAAAATGCCGCTCAGCATATACAATATCACTCTCTCAAACTGAACGCAAAACACTCCCAAAATCCGGAATCTCATGAATCACAAGCTAAAGAGATTACATAAGGTTTCTAACTCTAGAAATCTAATAACAAGGGAAAATACAGGGAAAAGCCTATAACAATAGGGAGAGTAGAGAGGGACTTCTACGTCTGAGGACGTGGCAGATATACCTTGAAGTCTTTGAGCCGCCTCGCCTCACGGATAGTATGGCTGAGCAGAAGAACCTGGATCTGCACACGAAAACATGTGCTGGAAAGGGCATGAGTACACCACGGCGGTACCCAATAAGTGCCAAGCCTAACCTCGGTCGAGTAGTGACGAGGAAGGTCAGGGCCCTACCAGTTATATATATAACAAGGAAAACATTATGAAACGTAACAATATAATTAAAGATGCTAACAGTCAAATAAAGATGAAATCTCAAAAAGGAAATAACTCAATAAGCAGAAATAGCAGCAGGGGATCTCCCAGGATAATGTCCTGTAGTCCCAAACATAAATGTTCAGAGGATCTCCCGGGATACCGTCCCGTAGTCCAGAAGTAAATAGCCAGTACAGGGGGATCTCCCGGGATATCGTCCCGTAATCCCAAATATAAAGGTGCAGGGGGATCTCCCGGAATACCGATCCGTAGTCCCAAAGTAAACATGCAGGGGGATCTCCCAGGATACCGTCCCGTAGTCCCAAAGTAAACACACAATAGTCTCAAGAAAGAAATCTACAGTTCTAGCCAAGTTCGTATCAACAAAATAGGAAGATTCTACTCTAAACATGCTACACGGAATCCAAGTAAGCAGTTAAAGCAGATAAGACAGTTAAGTCACATAAGCATGCTTTCCTAAGCCTAGCAGGAAACATCAAATACAAATGTTGCTCAATTATAAGAAAACACAGATATTTACTTAATGAAAACGAGGTTTTTCAACAATTAGCACGTGTACGCACTCGTCACCTCACATACACGGTATTCATATAACAACAGTACCAAAATCCTAACGGGAGTTCCCCCACACAAGGTCAGGCAAGCCACTTACCTCGAACCAAGCTCAATCAATCCGAAATCACGCTCTTGCCACGAGTATCCAACTCCGAGTGGCCCAAATCTTATCAAATCAATTTCATAATGTAAATATAACTACGAACAACGAGTTTAGCTAAAGGAATCGAAGCTAAGTCAAGAAAATAGAAAAACGCCCAAAAATCCTCCCCGACCCCATGTCTCTGAATCGGGTAATAATTACGGATTATGAACACCCATTCACTCACAAGTTCACTCGTACAAAAATCATCTCAATCCGACATCAAATTCGTATTCAAAACTCAGATTTTCCATTGGGGAACTTTTTCCCCCATTTCCAAACTTCTACCCTCAGATTCCTTAGTTAGTTGAGAAAAATAACAATAGATTAATGTATTAGAACCAAATTAGAGTTAGAATTCATTACCCAATAGTTCTCCTTCAAAATCTCTCAAGAAATTGCCTTCTACCGAGCTCAAAATCGATTTTAGAAGTTATGAATTCAAACCCTCGATTTCTCTCTTTTCTGCCCAGCGATTTTCGCTTCTGCGAGGGATCCACCGCACCAGCGGTCCCGCTCCTGCGGCTCCTACTCCGCACCTGCGGAAATTCATTAAACGGCCAGATTCTGCACCTGCGCTCCTATACCCGCAGATGCGGTTCCGCTTCTGCGATCCCCAAGCCGCATCTGCGACAATCGATTTCCAAGCCTCAGACCGCATCTGTGGTTGCCTAATCGCTTATGCGGCACTGCACCTGCGGTCCAAACTACGCGGGTACGAAACCAACAGGTTCAGCAAGTTCAGAAAATTGCCTAAGTCCAAATCCAATTCAGTTAAGCATCCGAAACTCACCCGAGGCACCCGGGACCTCAACCAAACATGCCAACCAATCCTAAAACATCATACGAACTTAGTCCAACCCTCAAATCACATAAAACAACGCTAAAACCACGAATCACCCTCCAATCCAAGCCTAATCAACTTGAAATTCCAAGAATTCTACAACCGATGCCAGTACCAACCAAACCAAGTCCGATCGACCATAAATTTTGCACACAAGTCACATTCAACACTACGAAACTATTCCAACTTTCGGAATTGGATTCTGACCCCGATATCAAAATTTCACTATCGATCCGGAAACTTAAAAAATCCAACATTCGGCATTTCAAGCCCAAATATGCTACGGACCTCCAAAACACACTCCGAACACGCCCCTAAGCCCGAAATCACCCAATGAAGCTAACAAAATAGATGAAATTCCATTCCGAGGCCGTCTTCACACCGTTCCGACTACGGTCCAAGTTCTTAAGTTTAAGCTCTCATTTAGGGACTAACTGTCCCAAAATACTCCGAAACTCTAAACAAATCATCCCGACAAATCACAATAGCAAAAATAAACGAGGGGAAAGCAGTTAATAGGAGATCGGGGCATTAATTCTCAAAACGACCGGCCGGGTCGTTACATCCTCCCCCTATTAAAACATTTGTTCGTCCTCGAAAGAGCATAGTAACATACCTGAAGTGGTAAAAGATGAGGGTAACGGCTGCGCATATCCTGCTCAGTCTCCCAATTCGCCTCCTCGACCGGCTGACCTTGCCACTGAACCTTTACTGATGCAATGCTCTTTGACCTCAGCTTTCGAACCTGCCTGTCCAATATAGCCATTGGCTCCTCAACATAAGATAGATCCTTGTCCAACTGGACTAAACTGAAATCCAACACGTGCGACGGATCACCATGATACCTCTGGAGCATCGAAATATGAAATACCGGATGAACTCCTCCCAAGCTGGGAGGTAAGGCAAGCTCATAAGCAACCTCCGCAACACGTCACAATACCTCAAAAGGACCAATAAACCTCGGACTCAATTTCCCCTTCTTCCCAAATCTCATAACGCCCTTTATAGGCGAAACGCGAAGCAAGACCCGCTCTCCAACCATGAATGAAACATCGCGAACCTTCCGGTCCTCATAACTCTTCTGTCTGGACTGGGCTGTGCGAAGTCTATCCTGAATCACCTTAACCTTCTCCAAAGCATCCTAAGCCAAGTCTGTGCCCAATATCTAGCCTCGCCTGCTCAAACCAACCTACCGGGGATCTACACCGCCTACCATACAGAGCCTCATATGGTGCCATCTGAATGCTGGACTGATAACTGTTGTTGTAGGCAAACTCCGCCAGTGGCAAGAACTGATCCCAAGAACCTCCAAACTCCATCATACACGCAGGGAGCATATCCTCAAGAATCTGAATAGTGCGCTCGGACTGTCTGTCTGTCTGGGGGTGAAATGCTGTGTTCAACTCCACCCAATTACCCAACTCATGTTGTACGACCCTCCAGAACCGTGATGTGAACTGAGTACCTCTATCTGAAATGATGGAAACTGGAATACCATGCAGACGAACAATCTCCCGGACATAAATCTTAGCCAACCGCTCTGAAGAATAGGTAGAACACACAGGGATGAAGTGTGCGGACTTGGTCAGCCGATCCACAATCACACATACGGTATCGAACTTCCTAAGGTCCGTGGAAGTCCAACTACGAAGTTCATGGTGATCCGCTCCCACTTCCACTCCGGAATCTCTATCTGCTGAAGCAAGCCACCCGGTCTCTGGTGCTCATACTTTACCTGCTGACAATTGAGGCACCGAGCTACAAACCCAACTATAGCCTTCTTCATCCTCCTCCACCAATAGTGCTGCCTCAAATCTTGATACATTTTCGCGGCATCCGGATGGATGGAATACCGCAAACTATGGGCCTCCTCTAGAATCAACTCTCGAAGCCCATCAAAATTGGGCACATATATCCGGCCCTGCATCTTCAATACCCCGTCATCACCAATGGTCACATCTATAGCCTCGCTATGCAGAACCTTGTCCTTGAGAACAAGCAAATGAGGGTCATCATACTGACGTTCTCCGATATGATCAAACAAAAAAGACCGAGAAACCACACAAGCTAGGACCCGACTAGGCTCCGAAATATCCAACCTCACAAATTGGCTGGCTAAGGCCTGAACATCCATCGCCATGGGCCCCTCTGCTGCTGGTAGATAAGCCAAACTCCCCAAACTCTTCGCCCGGTGACTCAAAGCATCGGCCACTACATTGGCCTTTCCCGGGTGATACAAGATAGTGATATCATAGTCCTTCAGCAGCTCTAACCACCTCCTCTGGCGCAAATTAAGGCCCTTCTGCCTGAACAGATGCTGCAAACTCTGGTAATCAGTGTAGATCTCACAAGGAACATCATACAAATAATGACGCCAGATCTTCAAGGCGTGAAC